GTCCACTTTACTTCAGTGAAAGCAGCAGATGCCCCTGTCTTGCGTGCAGAAATCGCAGTCCTGCTGGCAAAGGATGCGATAGAGCCGGTCCCTCCAGCCGATATGAAGTCGTGGTTTTACAGCTCCTACTTCATGGTACCCAAGAAGGATTACAACCAATCTTGGACCTGCCTGTCTTGAACCGGGGCCCTTCACCGGTTACCGTACAAGATGTTGGTGCAGGAACGCATCTTCGGGGGCATCTGTCCCCAAGATTGGTTTGCAGCGGTCGACCTGAAGGACGCGTACTTAATGTGTCGACCCTTCCGCACCACAGACCATTGCTGTGGTTCGCGTCCGACGGACGAGCATATCAGTACGAGGTCCTGCCCTCCGGGTTGTCCCTGTTGCCCTGTGTCTTCATGTAAGTTGCGGAGGCACCCCTTGTTCCCCTGAGAGAACCGGGCATTCGCATTCTCAACTACCTCAACGACTGGCTTGTACTCGCTCAGTCTCAGGATTAATTGTGCGAACACAGGGATTTGGTGCTCTCACACCTCAGCCTGTTGGGCCTTCAGGTCAACTGGGACAAGAGCAAACTCTCCCCGACGCAGATCTCTTTTCTCAGTATGGCGTTGGACTCGGTCGAACAGACAGCACACCTCACGCAGGAACGTGCTCAGTCAGTGTTGAATTGCTTGAATACATTCAAGAGCAGGATGGCGGTCCCACTGAAACAATTTCAGAGGCTCCTGGGGCATATGGCAGCTACGGCGGCAATCACGCCGCTGGGGCTGCTCCATATGAGACCGCTGCAGCACTGGCTCCATGGCCGAGTCCCGAGGTGGGCGTGGCAATGCGGCACTTACTGGGTCCAAGTTACACCGGCCTGCCGCCAAACCTTCACCCCGTGGTCAGACCTTGCGTTTCTCCGGGCAGGAGTGCCCCTAGAGCAGGTCTCCAGGAATGCTGTGGGTTGCACGGATGCCTCAACCACTGGCTGGGGGGCCACGTACAAAGGGCTTGCAGTGTCAGGGGTTTGGACAGGGCCCCAACTGCACTGGCACATCAACTGCCTCAAGTTGCTGGCAGTGCACCTTGCCCTGAGCCGTCTCAAAGGGCTCTTACGAGGCAAGCATGTGCTAGTCCGCACGGACAACACAGCGACTGTTGAGTACATCAACCGACAAGGTGGTCTGTGCTCCCGTCACATGTCGCAACTCGCGCGCCACCTCCTCCTCTGGAGCCAGAAGCATCTGAGGTCGCTTCGTGCTGTTGCAGGCCAGGAATGTTCACATTCAACCGAGCAGCCGACTAGATGTCTCGAGCTGCGCTCCCGGGAGAATGGCGACTCCATCCCAGACGGTCCAGCTGGTTTGGAGACGTTTCGGAGCCGCTCAGGTAGACCTGTTTGCCTCTCCAGAAACCTCTCACAGCTGGCCGCGGGGCCTTCGCAAATATGCGTTTCTCCCAGTGAGCCTTCTTGCACAGACTCTGCGCAAGGTCAGGGAGGACGAGGAGCAGGTCCTGTTGGTGGCACCCTATTGGCCTACCGGACCTGGTTCCCAGAACTAATGCTCCTCGCGACAGCCCCTCCTTGGCCGATTCCTCTGAGGAAGGATCTACTGACTTTGGCACCCGCATCCAGACCTCGGAGAAAATGCGGAGGTTCTAAGTGACCTACCTCAAGAGGTAGTTGACAGCATCACTTCAGCGAGAGCACCATCTACGAGACACGCCTAGGCTTTGAAGTGGAACCTGTTCGTTAAGTGGTGTTCTTCTCACCGAGAAAACTCCCGAAGATGCCCGATCAGAGTCATGCTGTCCTTTTTGCAGCAAGGGTTGGAGCGAAGGCTGTCTCCCTTCACCCTCAAAGGTTATGTCGCTGCAATCGCTGCTAACCACGACCCCATAGAAGGGAAGTCGCTGGGGAAGCATGACCTGGTCGTCAGGTTCTTTAAGGGGGCGAGAAGGCTAAATCCTCCACAGCCCCCCTCTACACCCTCTGGGGACCTGACTCTAGTGCTCACAGCACTACAGCGGGGCCCATTTGAGCCTTTGCAGACGGTCGAACTGAAATTTCTTTCAATGAAGACTTTGCTCCTGCTGGCATTGGGACCTGGGGTAGGGGACCTGCACGCATTTTCGGTCAACGATTCGTGCCTAGAGTTCGGGCCGGCTGACTCCCAGGTAACTCTGAGGCCCCGGCCCGGCTATGTGCCCAAGGTTCCCGCTACGCCCTTCAGGGATCAGGTGGTGAACCTCCAAGCGCTGCCCTCGGAGGAGGCAGACCCAGCCCTAGTTTTGCTCTGTTCCGTCCGAGCCTTAAGGTGCTACGTAGACCGGACGCAAAGCTTCAGGACCTCAGACCAGCTCTTTGTCTGTCACAGAGGCTGGCAGAAGGGGAATGCCGTCTCTAAGCAGAGGATGGCCCACTGGATAGTGGATGCCATCACCCTGGCTTATCAGGCACAGGGTGTGCCCTGCCCATTCAGGTTTCGAGCTCACTCAACTAGAGTGTTGCATCCTCCGGGGTGCTGGCACATGGTGCCTCGCTGGCAGATATTGGTAGAGCTGCGGGCTGGGCGACCCCTAACACGTTCGCTAGATTCTATAGCCTTCGTGTGGAGCCAGTATCCTCCTGTGTTCTCACCTCAAACGGGTAGAAGCACTGAGAGGCCCCGGCTTTGGGTTGGCTTGCTAAAAACCACTCCAGAGAGTCCATACAGTAGACCCTGTGAGCTCCTCCGTCCCTTCGGCAGCCAGACGTGGCAGAGCGTCCGACGCCAGGCCTTCACTAGTTGAATCCTCGAGAACTGGTAGAAGGCTGGGTTCCATATGTAAGATCTAAGTGTATCCCATATGTGTAAAGTCCATGGTTTAGCCTTGAGCCCGTGTTTCCCCGGCAGACTTCTGCCATTCTAAGAGGCTTACAATCACCTCCAATCTTCCATATGCATCTAAGGAATGTTCATATGTGTATTTGCTTCCGAAACCTCCTTCGGGAAGGTTGGAGCTTCCGTAACGTCCCTGTTCCATGTAGAAGGGGTACATTTTCCCAGTGTTATCCAGTCTTACTCATTGGGTAGTGCCATAGCAGCACGATGTCGAGAGTGACCGACTGAAAGGGAACGTCTCAGTTACGTATGGTAACCCTCATTCCCTGAAGGAGGGAACGGAGACGTCACGTCCCGTCGCCACAGCTTCCGTACCACTGCTGAGCGGCTGGGTCACCGGCTCGGCTCCTCAGCGAAAAGCTGAATATGCGCTGCATCTGCTGCCTACTTATACTCACGCTGTGATCAGCGGCAGCTGGATGCAATAATTGCATGCCAATGTGCATTGGCTCGTTTAGTTTACACTCGAAGTAGATTGGTCTCGCTAAGTGAGATCCCAATTCGTCGGTCATCTGACGTGACGTCTCCGTTCCCTCCTTCAGGGAATAAGGGTTACCATACGTAACCGAGACATTCTATTGAATGAATATTATACTGTATTTGCAGGAATCACCTCTATATCCGTGTCAGGAAAAAAGGGAGGATACATCACACTAACATGTGAATCTGAGGCCAATAATATTGTTCAGATTGAGTTATTCAATGAGTCAGGAGAAATGTATATCTGTCAGACTGAAGAATGTAGTGATCAAGTGTTTAAAGAAGGAGACTGTGACGTCGTCATCAAGAATCTGAGCTTCAGTGATGCTGGGAAATACATTTTGGGAATCTATTACAATAATGATCTGGAGCAACTAATCAGGACGTACCAACTTCATATTCATGGTAACTTCATAACTGATCAAACATCAACATCTGCTTTTTTAAATGATTACATTTAGTTCCCCGATACTAAATGTGTGTTCATGGCCTTGGTTGATTGACAGCATTATAATAATGATTAATGTCTCTCTGTTTCTCCTCAGATGAGATTTCTGTGAAAATAGGCGAGGAGCTGGAGTTGGATGTTCTGTTGTCTAATGCTGATAAAGTTGAGACAAACTCTAGTGGAGAGTGGAGGGAGGTTTGGAGCAGAACTGATAGGGTTCAGAGCGATCGACTGAATGAAAATGATGAAAACCTGATCATTAAAGCATTTCTGGCCAGTGATGCAGGAACATACAGAGTTCTGGACACTGAAGGAGAAATCTTGATCACGGTGACAGTCACAGGTGAGAAACACAGATATGTGGAAATATTATTTTTAAAGCATTTGGACAGCTAAAGTTTATTCATCATGATCTGAACAGCAAATTAATGCTAAACGGTGTGATTTACCTTTCAATGTCCTCTAGAATCAAAGGAAAAACTAGACACTGAACAACACAGTAAGTCACACAGGCATTGAGAGCTTTACAAAATCCTCAAGCAGTGAGTTTAATAATGAAAAAAACAAAACATTTTTTAAAAAATGTGCTCTCTTTCCGTCTTCCCCTTTTCCATTGGTAGAGAACTGGATTTTTCCACATATAGTTGTAGTGTGTTTGGTGATTCTGTTTGGGATTGTGATTTCTGTCATCATAAGGCGACTTCAGCACAGAGGTTATGAGCAGGGGTGGGTACAGAAAAACCCAGAGCCCCCACAGAGCAAATCAAGATTTGTAGCATCTGCAGCCTTTCACAACAGCTACCCTTTAAAAAAGATATATGTGAATTAAACATGAGACACTGTTCTTCATCATTACAGTATGATAGCGACTACAGTTTCTGGTGCATTAATAAATGTTTATTTATATAATTTCATATTTACTGTCTTTTTCTTTTCTTTCAGTTGTATTTCACCTATGTTTAACATTGCTTTGTTCAGGGTATAAGAGGGAAAATTAAAGGGTTAATTCACCCAAAAATTTCGGTTTGTACTTCTAATTCGTGACCGGCATTTTGTTTTGTTCTCTCTCCACATTCGTCATTAATAACGCAATGCCGACATCATACGTCATCCGCCAGAACGGCTTCAGTGTATGACAGATAGCGGAAGTGAGAGAAAAGTGTTTTATTACATTTGAAATATGGATATTTTTCTTACAAAAACACATGTATTTGCTACAGGAATAATACTTTATTCACCCCCTGGAGCCGTCTGCGGCATGTTTTATTATGGATGCGACCACTTTATTTGACGACTTGTGGACTGTTCAACCGCAACACCCGCTGACTGCAATGATAGCGCTTGGAATAGCCAGGACAATTTTTAATATAACTCTGACTGGATTCATCTGAAAGAAGAAAGTCATATACACCTAGGATGCTTCGAGCGTAAGTAAAACACAGTCTAATTTAAATTTTTGGGTGAACTAACCCTTTAAGATTTTCTATACGTTATGTTGTTCCATTCTGCTGTCTGAATATTTAACATGTATCTTAATAAATGAATTTGTCTGCTTTTGAGAATCTTATCTTTATCACTGATGGTGTTGAAAGACAAGAGGACTTGTTAAATGTGTTTACACCAGAACAAGAGATTCATTCGGAAATTTTAACATGTATGTTTTTGTGTTTTTCAGTATAAAGTCAACTTGTGTGTTTTTTTTGTTATTATATTGTAAGAGCCATTATGTCTGTTGTAATTCTGTTTTTGACCACTGGGTGGAGTGTGGGCCTTAATGAGTATATAGGTAGGCAAAGAGTAAGAGAAGGCAGGTGTGTAATTGAGAAGGGTCTGGCTGCAGACTTGCACTTGCACTCTCAGACTTGCACTATTTTTTATTTTGTTCTATTTATTAATTACTTTTTGTTTGAATCTCTCAACATTTTACAACAGTAGCCATGTGTTGAAGACAAGACAGAAGAAACTAAATTACAATGTCACTTGCACTGTCTGCTACCTGCGACGTCACTTGCAATCGACACAAATCGTGCGTGTTGCCAATGGAGACAAGACGCTGTGGTGGTGATTAAACCACATCCCCAGGTCCTTCCACTCCCCCCTCCCACTAACACACTGGGACCTGCACCCAGCATTGGTCTGCTCAGTACCTCATTCAACTACCTCTTCTGACAGTTTAAATAAAGAACTCTGAGCTTTGTCACTTTAATCAGTCTGAATAAGCTCTTTTGCACTACAAATCATTATATCTGCACTGTTTGTTTACTTCACTGGTTTGCACTCTATCTGCCATGTGCCTTGTGCTGCTTTATATGTATTTTTACATGTTGTATTTTATATTTAATTTATGTTCCACTGTTAGTGTTATCTGTATGCACCAAGGGTCTGAGAGTAACGCAATTTCAATTCTCTGTGTGTATGTGCTGTACATGTGGAAGAATTGACAATAAAGCAGACTTGCCTTGACTTGACTTGAACTGTATTTTTAATTTGATATTTTTATAGCATCTTAATACATTAAGCCATGTTAAGTGTTTATGTTTTTCTACAGGAGGAAAATGCTTAACGAGAGACTTTGTGCATTGCGTTCATATTCTGCTGTTCTGTGGCCACGGATTTGCGGGTCTTGTCTTTTTCTTGCAGGACCCTGTATGTTACAGCTAGTACTAAATTAGTTTTAATCGTTTAATCACCACCACAGCTTCTTGTCTCCATTGGCAACACGCATGATTTGTGTCGATTGCAAGTGACGTCGCAGGTCAATAAATAGAAAAAATAAAGACCGCAAGTGACGTCGCTAGCGGAAGCGCAAGTGTCTGAGAGTGTGTGTCTGAGAGTGCGAGAGTGCAAG